ATAAAATAGCCCTATAAATGACTATCCAACACATGAACAACTAACTATAAGAATCATTTAGTTCAACCATGCTCATCTTAGCATATAAGCATGCATTTAACAAGGAAATCTCATTTCCAAAAACACCACATAAGTTTATCAAAACCTAACCCGAGCAGTGTTTTTAAAATCAACATAACTATCAGCACATAATTTATATGAACATGATTCAAGTCTCAAATTAAATCTAAGGCATGCTTGTACAACTTTCATGAATAACTCAGAGGCAAATAATGGCATTTAGCAGTTCATTTTTTGACTAACATGATGAACTTAGATGCAGCCTGAGAAACCTATACATACTTGTGCACAGATCAGTAAAACAGACATAATTAATACTACACATATCATATTAACATGATTCTTGCATGCTTAAAAAATAGCTAAGAGACAACCCTAATGTAGATCATAGAAGCAGATAAAGTCATTTAAGAAGGTAAAAAAGCAACTAACATTAATAATCTAATTTCTGCCAAAAAGTATAAAATCCGACTCATGCACATCTTGATTTAATTTAACATAACTTGAGTTACAGACATCAAATTAGCATGAACTATTTACCTCATAAGAAACCTAAGAAATAGACCTACAACTTTCATAAAGATTACAAACTCATTTGAAAACATTAAGACACACCAAACAGGCCAAACATTTATTAAGAACTTGCTGCCGGGTTTATAGAAAACTGTTCGCACAATATTCTTGTAGAAATCATATCCTCTTCGATATAAATCGGATTTTCGAAATTCCAAAGCCCACTGAAAGCTAACTGGATAAGCTACAATTCATGTGATGAACACATTTTCAGAAAACGAGTTCCAAATGGCCAAAACAGAGGCACAACAGAAATAATAAAATCGAGAATAATCCATGTAAAGTTCAATTTGCATGATAAACATTAAAAATCCATATCTCGAGTTATACTAGGCCAAATGACATGATTCTTTTATTTATCAGCCGTTTATTTGTTTTTTCTATAACCTACCTTGCATTCTTGTTCCTATATACTCCTCATTTACTCAAGAAATAGCCATATAAAGCATACTTTCCCAGATTTTGCATAACATAGTAAAAAATGCAAGCAAACTGCACATAAGAAACACTCATGCGAGCTGGGAAAACTTTATTTCTTGCATACTTGAAAAACACTTAAAAACTGAACATATATGATATAAATTTATATCATTTAACTCCTAATCTCTTCTACAACATGTTGTACAAAGAGTTTAGAAATACCAACCTCTTAATCTTCAAGAAAAATGCAAGAGAAGTCCGTTATGCTCGGTTGTAGCATCCTCTTCTTGCTCTCGACTTTATGCTTGGTTCTCCTCGAATTTTCTTGAACTTGAAGCCTCAAAATACTTCTATGGGGAGTGTAGAATGAGGTAAGAGTGATATAATATGGTTGGTATTAAGAGTTGATGGCTAGAACTCAAGAACACTCCAAATAGTGCACTCAGGATTTAATGTTTCACTCTCGGCTATATGCTTTGAGGGAGTGTTTAGCTCGAATTTTGAGGGATCTTTTGCTCAAATCTTCTAAGTATCAAAATGGGGCTTTAATGTGGCTGAAAGAGAGCTTAAATATGGTGATTTGGGCGTGATAAATAAGGCTCACAATGGAGACAAAGTGTGAGACAAGGGTGGAGATACCATTTCCAAGGTACTAAAGCATGCATGTGGCTTGAAGTGGAGCACTATGGCTGATTCCCTTCTCTGGACGAGCATCTTAAGGTGGGAGGGAATCTGATTCTACACTAAGAGCTAAGGTGGTGGAACATATACTTACACCACAATATATTAAATTCATGCCCATGCTAGCCATTTAGATAAACTAATCTAATTCAATAGTTAACTTTGCTAATCAAGTCTTGGGGTTGAATTTAAGCTTAAACTTGCTAATTGCATCTCTAATATATGCGCATGAACTTAGGACTGGTCGAGTCGATACAAAGTTCGGGTCACAATGATTCGATTAAAACGGATATGACTTCGGCTTACGCAATTAAACCAAAAATTCAAACGGTGATCGGTAAAATAAATCGAACGACTCGTAAGATTATATTATACATTTAATAATATAATATATAGCTACGTTTTCAAGACATTTAGAAAAATAAAAATAAAATGTCATTAATCAAAATAAAAATTGGAACAATCCAATATTCAGACGGGGCGCTACAAATTAGTATCTACCCCATGGAGGCACCATAGTTTCCATACCACGTAAGGGACGGATGTTGGGAAGTCCCACGAAGACACGAAGAATAGGAGCGCTCGCCCTAGGGTGTGAGAATGAATTTCATTTTCAAATAAAAGTTATTCCAAAAACTTAGTTACATGTAACTTTTCGAGGTGCTAAATTATTTTTTGATATCATCACACATTACACCAAAGTACGTACTCTAAAACAATTACACATGTTTGAGTACAATACACCAATTAGATTGTGAATGTTCATGTAAAAAAAGTTTCAACTTCATTCAAAAATTCAAAATGTTTTGATCAGGATTCGATATTTCTTTTCAATGTTATTTATTTGAAAGATAAAGAAACTACATTATCTATTGTTTGCAAATAATTTATTATCTTGGTTTTTGGATTAGCAATATTTATGTGCCTAATAAGTTTTTTAATGCTTTTATTGTCCAACTTTTTGTTATCGTACATAATACCTAAAAAATTCACGAAATGATCCTTTCTTGGTTCTTCAACAATGACAATACAATACAAAACAAAACAAAATACAACAAAACATGAGACAATTTTGAAAAGCATATCATTTGTCAAATTAATTGAGGGAATTGAAATTCTATCATATTATGTTACTCTTAGCACCTGTGAAATTTATTATTACGAAGTCATTATTAAAATCTAAATTGTGTATTGCAACATTTATGATTTTTTATTATTTATAATTTAGAATTGATAAGATGTAGGATCATTATTTATAAAAAAACCAATTTCTTACAGAATTCCTATGTTTAAATACTAACAATAGTAATTTTAAAAGACTTTGATTTCTGGATATTCGTATCCATAATACTAAAAGAAAATTCAGACTTTTTTTTTCATTTAATTATTGTTGTTTTATTTATGTTGAACATCAGGTCAAACCTCAACCACCTCAGCATTCTCTTTCCACATCACAACCACACGGTGAAAGGACAAGAAACCCCTTAGCTATTGTGGCCCCATGCAGCATGCAGATGAAGAACCGTATGGTGCCACGTGTAGATAATCCTATGGGCTTAGTTGTGAGTTGTATAACGTGGGTCGCGACAGGCAGGTCTACATATTTTCTTTTTATTTTTTATTTTTTGGTAAAAAACATGCTTTCAAAGGGGACCAATTAGTTGGACTATATAAAATCAAGTTCAGGGCACCAAATCAATTAGCAAAAAAAAAAAAAAAAAAA